GGCGTGTCGGACTTCGGAAGAGAGAACTGAGGGGACGACGTATCCATCCTGTTGCAGTTGATAAGTGGGCAGATGGACATGGCTATCGAAGAGATCCGAGTAGAAGTCGTGGATGACTTTCTCCATTGCCCTTCGGGATGCAGTAACTGTTCCATCCGGACGTCGGAGGCAGGTCATCTTGGTCTTGTAGCTGGCAAAGCTTCGGCGGGCATTGCGGATGCTCCTCCCAGCCTCTGCTGCTTCAGCTAATACTGCTGCTCTTCGCTCCTTGAGATCTTCCTTTATCGCCTCTCTGCATAGCTTCGCAAGCTCGGACGTGAGTTGGTGATTGCCTGCAGCTCGTGCGGCTCCACGTTGGCGTATCAGCTCGAGAGTTTCCGTAGACAGACGTCCTTTGGTGACTTGCAAACTCTCTGCCTTCCTGCCACTCTCGTGAAGGTGTTCAACGAGCCGATGATATTCCTCGTCGATGTTCTCGATAACGGAATCCTCCCATAAGCTGACAAGGAAGTGAAGTGGTCCCAGTTGATGATTGTTTGCTGGAGCTTCTGCTTCCTGAACTTTGAGCTTTCTCACACTTCGAAAGTGGGACTTTGCACGAATAGACGATGGTGTGAACTTTGAACAGCGACGTCGGTCAGGCAAAACCTTCGATTGAAGATGATGTGGTCTATCTCGTTATGGAACTGTCCATCAGGTGACTCCCAAGTCCAACGAAGGTGAGGGGGCTTTGGAACTGTGAGTTACCATGGATGGTGTTGGTCGACATGATAAACTCCGACAGTCTCTCACCCTGCTCATTCCATTCCATTCCGTGAGTACCGATGTGAAGTTCTTCAGCCGTTCTTCTTGGGCCAATCTTAGCGTTGAAGTCGCCGACGATGACCTTGAAGAAGGTATGATCTTCCTTGTAGAACTTCTCCAATTCCATATAAAATGCTTCGTGTTCCTCCTCGTCGTAGCTCGATGTTGGTGCGTAGGCGACGAAGATTGTCAAAGCAGGAGTTGAACCACATCTTCTCAATCTCAAACGTCCGATTCGGGTCGTAAGGCTTTCGTACGAATCGATGTTTATGGCCAAGTGCGTGTTGACGAGGACACCCACACCGCCAACGCCTCTGCTGTCGCATGTTCCAAGGAACAGTTCTTCTCCAGTATCGAAAACGGCGTGTAGCGGGCGGTGCCTTCTCGTCTCGGTCAGTCCGATGACGTCGTACTTGATCTTCCTGGCCTGCATCATCAGATCTTCGATGTGAGCTTCGGATGCAAGCGTTCGTGCGTTGAAAGTACAGATCGCCATCTTAGTCCTTCTTCGTTTAGGCAGCCTATCCGGGCCCTGAGATTCTAGCAGCCTCTCCCGAGCGGTCCTACCCAACGCTGCCGTATTGGGGGCTCCCTCAGGTTCAGGGGAATGAGGCCCATCCATATTGCTGTTTTCGGCATATTGAAGGCACACGAGTAGCTTGCCAGGCTCTGTCGTGTGGGCTAGGATAGACCTCCAGGTAGTTAGCCACGCTATCCTGGAGCGGAACAAGGGGCTTATTTTTTGGAGGCGGCCCCGAATCGCCTCCCATGTACTTCCCAGTCACTTGAATGCAAGCTTTTGGCTGTGCCGACATGCAGGATACCAACCGCACACACACAGAGCGCACCACACACGCAAGCATGCATGGATACACCTGTATGGAGAAGCTGGTATGAATCGACACAGCACTACAGAGACAGGGAGTCCATCCCCTGAATCCACCTGCGTCTCAGGGCAAGTACATGGTGGCTTTTGGTCCGCGATTTACCCCCTATCCGCCACCTGGGGTCGCGCCACGTAGCCTCGCCACCAACCGGCTCGAGATCTTTCAGTGAGAGAGGACCCTCAGTGAAAGAGATCCGTGGAACTACAATGGGTCCATGCTTCAGCTCCTGACTGCTGCAAAGCGAGTTACAGCTTTAGTTCTACCAAAATAAAATAAATAAGCATAAAACTAAATTTAAACCAGAGAAAAGAAATCTAACGAAAAGAGCTGAGCCGATAAGCTTGCTTTGTTGACGCCATTTCTCATCTCCAAATCAATAACTTAATTTGTTCTTTTCATAAATGTCAACCGCACACTTTGGTGAAAATGTAGTTCGGGGGGGGCACTCATAATACCCTAATCGAACTCACAATATCTAATCGAAGTGGAGCTGCGGAAGTGCGGTCATATCTAATCAACATCCAGAGCACAATCTCTGAGTGTATGATTAGATATGGATACCAACCGGGTTCCATACAAAATCGGATACCTGGAAGGCCCTTCCTCCGAGAGTTTGCATGGCAGTCGCAAGGTTTGGTGAAAGTGAAGAGCCAGCAGGGTAGCAGCCATTTTAGCCATAGAATTATGACAAGGGTAAGTGTGCTAGTCGTAGGCCACAGTTTCAGTGAAAGATATTAATAAGCATATAGTGCTTTCCCGCAACCCCTTATATTATATACAGTAGTGGCCAGAAATTTATGAACAAACGGTTTTTTCATGATTTCTCTTTTGAAAGTCACTGGAACGTCTCCAAATTTGCAACAATTATTAACTACGTGTTTTGTGATCCACACAGAAAATTTCAACCTTCAGCTCAAATTTGGGTTTAGAAAATTTTAGATTTTTCGAAATTAATGAAGGCAGGTGAAAGATCACTTGATCCGTTTATTTGATTTAAATAATGTAACCCAACAGAACAGTCAAGTAAACAGTCACTAACATTAAGCAAGTCTAGCACATTGCTCAGAACTCTCTAAAGTATTGGATACATAAACTGGATTTAAGTGGAGGGTCAATCAATGAACTCGCTCTCTAGTGGGTCTCCCTCTGTCAGCGCGCTTATATTTTCGTGACTCTTTCACATTGACATGCGACTTTGTAGCTCCTTCCCTAGTGGTCTCTGTAATGTTTGGCTCAAGAGTCTGGCCTGGCTGATCTTTTAAAAGCCCCATGCTGTCGAAACCACTCCTGCATGTGAGAGGCCCGATGCTTTGAGTCGCTGCTCTGCTGACAGACAAAGCCAGGTCGTGTGGCAGCCATGTCTACGGATACATGACACCTTCCAAAACATGACAGCAAACGTCTGCCTTCATCGCTACCTCAGTCGTGTAGCGTGGTCCCACTTTTTTCCAAGGCAACCTTATCAAGCCTCCGCCAAGTTTCACAATTGGCAGCTGATTCTTTGGATCAAAACGTTCCTCTCGTGGTGCCGTACATTACTAGTATCCTTGCTGTCATGCATCAGTAATATGTTTTTGTCACTCCAGATGACCTTAGAAACCTGTATCAACCTTCGTTTCAGGCTTAGTCAATCACATTCTACTCCCACCACTTCACAGCGAGCGCTCTTCTTAGACTTTGAGAACTAAGGAATACGTAGTATAGACTTAGATTCTAGAAGATGTTATGTATCCGTAGACATGGCTGCCACACGACCTGGCTTTGTCTGTCAGCAGAGCAGCGACTCAAAGCATCGGGCCTCTCACATGCAGGAGTGGTTTCGACAGCATGGGGTGCTTTTAAAAGACCAGCCAGGCCAGACTCTTGAGCCAAACATTACAGAACCACTAGGGAGGACCTACAAAGTTCGTATGTCAATGAAAGAGTCACGAAATTAAGCGCCTACAGAGGGAGACTCCCACTAGAGAGCGAGTCCATTGATTGACCCCCCACTTAAACCAGTTTATGTATCCAATACTTTAGAGAGTTCTGGGCAATGTGCTAGACTTGCTTAATGTTAGTGACTGTTTACTTGACTGTTCTGTTGGGTTATACATTATTTAAATCAAATAAACGGATCAAGTGATCTTTCACCTGCCTTCATTAATTTCGAAAAATCTAAAATTTTCTAAACCCAAATTTGAGCTGAAGGTTGAAATTTTCTGTGTGGATCACAAAACACGTAGTTAATAATTGTTGCAAATTTGGAGACGTTCCAGTGACTTTCAAAAGAGAAATCATGAAAAAACCGTTTGTTCATAAATTTCTGGCCACTACTGTATATCTCTATTTAGCCATTTCGTAACTTCGATTAGATTACGGTGGCGCCCCTGAACTACATTTTCAGCCCCAGATCATGCTTCGGTACGTGACCAGATTAGCTTCGATGTTCAGATACTGCGTTCCTAGTTGTAGAAATATGGCCCAGTATTCGGGCTTAGTCTTTCAATGAAAATTTTCGTGCTGTTCCTAAAAATGTGGTGATGCGTGACCTCATCCTGAGTTCCACACTTAGGATTTCTCTTCTCTGGTTTCAGTCAGAACGCCTAACGAGCATGGCAGCACGCTTCGCAGGACCCTACGCTAGTTGTCCATATCAGTGATTTTGCTATAGGATTTTCATTTCTATCCTCTTTCTTTCGTAGAGCTGACACAGGTTGACCGTACATGGTGATTTTGTTTGATGTAATCTTCGAGGTTATAGCTAATCCTTTTAGAGAACTTCTGCTATTTATCCTGGTGCACTCTTATTTCTATTCGTAGTGAGAATTTGGAGCACCAAGCTATGGTTTTCTTTGAGCTCCTAAAAATGGCTTCGATGCTCATTAGGCCAGACGCGTATAAAAGAAAGTCTGGCTTTCACTCGCGGAGGGAAAGGGAGCAACTCAAACCGTAACTCTAATAGAATTACCATACACCGGACAAGTGCTACCATCGTTGCTGGATGGATAAAAAAATTCAACTGTAAGGAGACTTCCGAGGGGTGTCCTATGATTTTGCAACGACTACAAAACTAAAAAAATTGTCTAAAAATACGGAAAACTATTCGGATGATCTGGCTACTTGTTTGTATAGGTTTTTTATAGAGGCGGTTCTGATTCTACCAGTTGCGATAGACGGCTTTTTCTAGAAGCCGAGATATTCATATTTTTGGGGGGTGTCCTATGATTTTGCAACGCACTGTATGTATTGTGTGGAATGAATCCCTTCTCTACTCCTATTTTTACCGCCATCAAGCATTCGGAGCTTCGATCCACGTTTCGGTATTTGATGCTATATACGGTGCTGTCGGCAATAAGCATTCATTAGTCCCACCCCAGCCATTACATAGGCAACTCAAATACTCGGATTTATGCAGCAATTTTTTCACGAATCCCAACCAAGAGTAAAGTACATACATGTCGAACTTCCCAAACAACGATAAATTGTATGCGCTCTAGAATTCCTACATTTTGGAAAAGCTGAGTGCACCTGTGAAATTCCAAATTCTTTCTCAAATGCACATTTTTACAGGAATGGAATGAAACCCTCTATGAGCTTGCTAAGCAAGATCTCACTCAACCGTTACCATCGGCCATGTTGCAAGGTTATGAAGGAGCGAATCTCTGGAACTATTTCGAAAAGAGTAATAGTCAAACAATGAAAAAAAAGGTGAAGTCGACTATGCAAAAGAAGAAGAATCGTCAATATCTGACAAGAGCGGTAAGACATTGGCATCACCATTGTTAAATCGATGCTGCCCTGCCGGCTTAGAAGCAGGGTCAACCGTCCGTTGCCGTCATACTAACAGGCAGACTCTGCTCTTCAGAAGATGTTTGAGCGATTAGAGCAGAGAAGCACTATTCGAACGATGCTCAACGATTCGAAAGTATAGAAAGCGGCGCGAATTCTTTTCATTCAACACCCGAGACATGATAGTCAAGGAAAGCGGCGAAAGCTAGTCCGTGAGCGAATATCCTAACACCTTCAAATCACTGGCAGCTTCCTCATATCCTGCGATTCCCTGGTTTTGGAAAGTGTGGTACAGCCCGCATGGAATAAAGGATAAAGGATAAAGCATTTGCCGTTGATCAATCCCTTTTTGGGATGCGGCACGCATTCTACTTCCATTTGTACATTCGTAGTGGCGTTTGAATGCGATGTGGCCTATACAATGACTTGCGGGGGCCAGCCGATGTACAAGTCAGTGTTTTTATCCTCCCAGACAAGTCTGGTACCAATTAACCGACCCCGGAGGGATGGAAGGCTTGGTTGGCCCGGGCGACTCACGACCCAGGATTTGATCCCCGGACCGCTCGCGTGGTAAGCGTGCCACTTGCCACTACACCACTTCCGCCCCATGGAATGGCAATATTTAACAATGCGGCAGGTGGCACGTCGTAAACGAGTAAGCGGTAAAAGTACTGGCAATATTCCCTTTCAGTCATTGATTGTTGTGAGCCATAGCAAGAAGATATGAACTTCCAAATGTCTCCACGACTTCAAAGCATGGAAGCGTGCGCGAGGCGTCTCGTGGCAGAAGTGCGAAACGCTTCACATTCGAATAACCACCGAAAATATTGTATGAGAGGAATTCGTATGTTTGTGGACTGAGATGAAAAGT